TCCCTACCATTTTTGTCCTTTATCATGTCCATCTTTGCACAAAATGTTCCTTTAATATCTCCATTTTTCCTGAACAGATCTCTGGTTTTTCCTTTTCTACTATTTTCCTCTATTTCTTTGCATTGTTCATTTAAGAAGGCCCTCTTGTCTCTTCTTGCTATTCTTTGGAAGTCTACATTCCATTTTCTGTAACTTTCCCTCTCTCCCTTGCATTTTGTTTCCCTTCTCTTCTCTGCTATTTGTAAGGCCTCGTTGGGCAGCCACTTGGCTTTCATGCATTTCCTTTTCTTTGGGATGGTTTTTGTTGCTCCCTCCTGTACAATGTTATGAGCCTCCGTCCAAAGTTCTTCAAGCTCTCTGTCCACCAAATCGAGTTCCTTAAATGTGTTCTTCACTTCCACTGTGTTCATAAGGGATTTGGTTTATATTATACCTGACTAGCCCAGTGGTTTTTCCCATTCAGAACAGTATGTGGTGCCGCCCTCTTGAGCCTGTATTGCTAGGCACTGCTTATGTGTGAACAAAGCTTGGAAAAGTTACTTTGTTAGACTTAAAGTTGCAGAATCCTCCCGCCATCAAATTCAAATACCTGACAGAAAGTATTTCATATAAAAAAAAATCTTTGCTGTGCTTAGGAAGATGGAGAGGCAAGGCTACCTCAATCAGATGCCTTCCAGGTCTGTTTTTTCTGCAGCTCCTACCACTCCTTCTAGCACGCCGGTTATGGACAATGAGGATTATAATCCCAGTATAGATTCCATATTGGAGGAGAGTGCTTCACTTGATATTGTGCGTCCTCTAGTCTTCTTTCTTAAGCTATTGTGGTTTGATCTCATTGTAGAGCAGGCTGCATTTCCTTGTGTGTTCTACAATCATCCTTGCTTGTGCAAATGAGGTAGTCTAGTCGTAGTGGAAGTGTCCAGTTGTAGTGGAAGCGTCCGCTATTACTAGCTCATGTCTTGGCCTCACTAGAGTTGATGGCCACTGTGGCCCATCTACTGACAAAGTATCTTAATTGTCCATTGAGCCACTGGTACTGCTGCTCTAGAAAGCCATTTGTAAGTTGTAGTTACTTTGTACCTAATAATAAATCCTGTACTACTTGTGGTGAATTGCATAATTTCCCCTAAATTTACCTGAAATAGATACACTGAAAAAAATGGACAAAAAACAAATGCTAATACAAAAATGAAATCTTTGATCCTTTACAACATTTTTTTTTAATTTTGACTTTCAGATCATGGAAAGTATTTCCATGTTTATACTGCAAAAATCAAGTACTGTACATACAATGGACACCAAGTGCCTAGGCACCTATTTTATGAATAGTATGAAGTTATGGTGTTTGACACTGTTAAATCTTTTGGCCAGAAACCATTTGAGAAAAACTATACATGTAAGGGCGAGCAGGCTATCCTTTGCGTGATTGTGTGACTGGTCATGTGCCTGATTTTGCAACCAGTAAATAACCAGTTATCCGAGGAGGGTCCTGCTGAATGGAATGGTTGCATGATTGCCTTTCAGCTCTCAGGTAATTGAACAGCATTCTGGCCTTTGTTTTTTGTAGAGAGTCTTTTTCTGTGGTACTATTGAACATGATATGAGGCCAGGTTTTATTTTGAAAATAGTAAGTTGTGAACTGCAACCTGCTTCTGAATCAGAGTAAGCAGAAAAATATTTCCAAAGGCAGGAATTATTCTGGATTGTTGCTGGCAACAATAGCATCAGCAGCTGTGTTTATAAGATTTCTTCAGAAATACTCAATATCCACACTACATATTTTTAAAGAATATTATAAAACTGCATTTCCTAGCTACCACCTCTCTCCCATACCAAAGTCTAAATATTACATTTGAACACCGAACTGAGGCCTCCCATATGCTGTTTTTGTAATTGTGACCCAATGTAATGTCATGTTTCCCTGTTTTTCAACAGGCCCAACATATTTAATTCTTCTTTTTCATTGGGTGGGGATGCTGTATGAAGAAGGAACTTCAGTTTTATTGGGAAAGAGTACATGAATATATTTTCAGTCAGGTGTTATTGCCCAAATAGCATGCAATTTTACTCTGATGTAATGCAAACAGTGTAACTTCTTATGGTAAATTGCTTCAAGTTACAAAGTCATTGTTCGTTGTGCACAAATTCCTACAATTTTATTTATTATTTGCTTAAAATATTTTCACCCCACCTTTCTCCTTAAAAGGGCCCAAAAGATAATGTTTGCACTTCTTAAGTTGTAGTTCATTTCCAAAAGTTACATCATGTGCATTATGTTCGCAGGTACAACTAGTCGATTTTTTTCAGTGACTTTATCATTCAACTCCATTGTTGCTGTGGTGGAAGCGTATAATATATGCCGAAATGATAATGTTCATTTGTGTGACGCAACCTCCTCCTACAAACCTTACAATATTAAAGAAATCTGTTTATTGGAAGAGAGGCCAGTTCTGAAATAAGGGAAGGCAACATATGATGAGGCTATAATTTATAGTTAGGAGAAACCATGAAACCAGGGATATAGTCATATACTTATGGAATCAATAACGCCCTTCTCATAGTTGAAGGGGTGGACATTTAAAGAACACTACATGGCCACACAGAGATGACCTGTATGGCATGGGATGAAGTATTTATTGAAGAATAAAAGCAACATGGATTTTATTTCCATTTAGCAGAAGGGTACAAAGATTATGCGGATCAAATCTAAGAGGGCTCAAGAACAAATATTTGTTATGTTTTGGAAAATTTGTTATGTTTTGATTTCAGGATTTCTTCAGCAAATCTGATCCATTTCTGGAAATATTCCGGATAAATGATGATGCCACCCAGCAGCTTGTTCATAGGACTGAGGTAAGAATCATTTCTTACTATTACTATTATTATCACTACAGCCATTCTTCACATTATTCAACTTCATATTTTGGCCTTTATGCCAGAAGTTCAGGATCTTCTGAAAATAATAAAAAGCGATATGTTCTAATGACAGCAAAGATCAAGCAACAAGGCTATTATTTCCTGCCCCCGTGTAGCAGAAAGGGGATAGCCTTGCTGGACATAAAACATTTGGGAGTGGTGACATAGCAGTGACTCTGTTGCGACTGCTCTGAACAGCTGATGGCTGTGTTTCAGCGTTCCTGTTCCAAGTGCTAAAAAGAGTGTATATAACCTTCACAGAACTAAGAGAACAATGGCATGGAGTTATTAATGTAGTTTGCCTGGCAGCGTAAAGTATTTTCTCTACAAATAGCTTCTTGGGGGTGGAAATGTAGGTGAGTACTGTGACTTAGGGAAAAGGCTTTAACACCTTGTATTTCTGCCATGGTCTTCTTGTTTGCTTAGGGAGAGATTTCCATTCTCTTCAGTGGTTCTTTGACCTTTTGCCCCCATTATGTTCCTAGGAACTTTGCCATCGCTGCTATTAGCAGGATAGGAAATTTATTTTGTTTTCTTTTTTCAAAAAAATATTATATTTATCTTCTGATTTTCCTCCTGTGACCTCAAGGTGACTTCCTTGTGAAGAAGGTCAGGGTGAGAGAGAACAACCAGCCCAAGGCCAGTCAACAAGTTTCTTGGCTCAGTGGGGTCTCTAGAAATGGGATCTCCCATGCCCCAGTCTAGTACCCTAATTACTGTTACAGCGGTGCCTCGCATTACGACGTTAATTCATTCTAGCTAAATCGCTGCAGAATGAAAACGTAATTCAAAAATAAAAAACCCATTGAAACACATTAAAACCTGTTTAATGCGTTCCAATCGGCTAAAAACTCACCGTCCAGCGAAGATCCTCCATAGGGCGGCCATTTTCGGTGGCTATCTTGCGAGGAATCTGTCCTAGAAAACAGCGGGGACCCATTTTATTTACCCGGTGGCCGTTTTGAAACCACCGATCAGCTGTAGGAAAATGGTCGTTTTGCGAAGAATCAGTTCCCGGAGCAGGGAACCGATCATCGCAAAGCAAAAAAAAGCCTATTCAGACCATCGTTTTGCGATCGTAAAAGTGATCACAAAAACGTCGTCATAATGTGGTTTCATCATAATGTGGGGCAATCGTAAAGCGGGGCACGACTGTAGTTGGGAGAGATTGTCTGGAGTTTTGAAGTTCGGTGTCACCCGTATGCTGATTATCCAGCTCTATTTCTCTTTTTCATCCAATTTCAAGGAAGCTGCCTTGGTTCTAAACCACTGCCAGAGATCAGTAATGGGCTGGATGAGGGCAGACAACTGAAACTTAACTGAAGCAAGACAGAGGTGCTCCTGTTCAATTGGAAGGCAGATGAGGGAATAGGAACGAAGCAAGACAGAGGTGCTCCTGGTCAATTGGAAGGCAGATGAGGGAATAGGAATACATCCTGTACTGGATGGCCCTGAAAACTCAGATTTGCAGCTTGGTTGTTCTCCTAGATTCCTCCCTGAGCTTAGATGCCCAGGTGGCCAGGAATGGTTTTGCACAGTTAAAACTGGTGCACCAGCTGCACCTGTTCCTTGAAATGTCTGATTTGGCTACAGTGACATATGCCTTAGTTACATCCTGCTTGGATTACTGTAACATGCTCTATGTGGGGCAGCCTTTGAAGACAATTCAGAAACTTCAGCTGGTTCAAAATACAGCATCCAGACTACTGACTGGCACTGGTTATAGGGAGAATATAATGCGCTTGCTACAACAACTTCATTGGCTATTAGTCTGTTTCTGGGCCCAATTCAAAGTGCTGGTCATTACCTATAAGGCCCTATGCAGCTTGAGTCCACGCTATAAGGATCGTATCTCCCCATATGAGCCTTCTTGGCACTTAAGATCAGCAGAGGAGGTCCTCCTCTCTGTCCCATTGCTAGTGCAGAAACAGTTGATGGGGACACGAGAAAGCTCCGTCTCTGTGGCTACACCCAGGTTATGGAATGCTGTTGTACGGGAGGTCAGGATGCCCCCCTCCCTTTTATCCTTCCATCAACAGCTGAAGACCCACCTTTTCAGGCTTTTAATAATAATTCATGATGGAATCCCTGAATTCTATAGAAAATTAAGATTTTAATTTTTACTTGTTTTTAATTATTAAACTGTAATTTAATCAGTTTTATAGTTTACGTTTTTAATGTGTTTTAATTCTGTTCTTTTTAATATTGTGAATTGCCTTGGATCCCCTTATCGGGAGAAAGGTGGCCTGCAAATAAAACAAATATATGTATATAATGTGAATCTGTGTGACCAGGACAGTGAATGCAGTGTGAGTAAAAGTATCCTTCTGCCATGGGACAATCCCAACCCATCATTCGCAAGTGCTGCATATGCTATTTATGAAGGGGAAAAATGCATTCATGACTCAGCACAAACTGTGAATATGTATTAAGACATTTGATTCATTCAGCTGTGTGGATAAGTATAAGACAATCAGTTTGGGCCCAATTTATTTAAAAAGAAGGTAGGAAAAAATTAAAAGTGCATCAACTTTCAAAGCATTGCTCTGGGAGGGGGTAGAGGTACTTCCTTCTTGAGTTGTGCCATCTAAGCAATCCTGTGTTTGAATAATATAGAAAGCAAGTGACTCACCTCAGAGGTAGTAATAAAAGAAAACAAATGCAGTATGACTTTGAAAAGCATACTGTGTCTGAAATCCTGTTGCTTCTTTTTACACATATGGATGGTGAATGGCTAAACATTCAGTTGCTTCTAGCTGGCAATAAACAAGTCACAGTGTCTTGGTATGTGCTCAGGAATTCCAGTGGTGACTCATACATTGCCAGCTAGAAGGCTCTCAAAGACGTTATGTCAGTATGATGCAAGAAGCATGGAGAGTGCAATTATGTTTGAAAGGCTGGCACATTTTGGATATTACTAACCAGAGCTCATCATGCGGGGGGTGGGTGGGTTCTGAGATATGTAGTCCAAAAATGTCACTTTCTAGTTGTGCATGCAAGTGAGATCACAACTGATAAAATGGTCCTTCTCTGTTTCCTCAACACTCGTAGCCATTAAAGGAAAATTATTCTAGCATTATACTAAGGCAATTCAAGATGTTTAAAAAGATTAGAGTCCCCTCCTCTCTTCATTTCTATTTCACGTTCTTCTGCCTGTCAGTTGACAAAGTCACATTACAACATTTTATTTATTTATTTATTTGTTCGATTTATATCCCGCCCATCTGGTATATTCTACCACTCTGGACGGCTTACAGAATATCAAAAACAATTTAAAAAAAAACATAAAAACATTAGCATACAACAATGACAAATAGTGCAGGAATAAATAAATAATAAATAGCAAAGCAAAGAAATCAGTAGTTGACAGGCGGGAGGGCCTGGATGTACATTCATGTTTTCAGCTGGCATTTGAAAGTACCCAGCATTGGGGCCTCGCGAATTTCCAGAGGAAGGTTGTTCCAAAGGCGAGGAGCCACCGCCGAGAAGGCCCGGCTTCGTGTCTTTTCCCTCTGGGCCTCCCTCGGTGTCAGGCTCCTCAGCCTCACTTCCTGACTCATGTGGGTGATCCGAGTGGATCTTGGTGGGAGCAGGCGCTCCGCCAGGTATCGAGGTCCTAAACCGTTTAGGGCCTTATAGGTAAGCATTAGAACTTTGAAGTCAATGCGGAAATGGATGGGCAGCCAGTGTAGTTTGGCCAGAACAGGAGAAATATGTTGGTGTTTTCTCACTCCAGTAAGGATTCTGGCCGCTGCATTCTGCACCACCTGAAGTTTCTGCATCAGCCTCAAAGGTAGCCCCACTTAGAGCGCGTTACAGTGCTCTAGTCTTGAGATTACAAGCGCATGTACCTGAAGGTGGAAAAAGGCAGTGTTAACTACCGACACCACTTGGGCTTCCATGGTGAGCGTCGGGCCCAGGTGTACGTGGAAAAAGGCAATGTTAACTACCGACACCACTTGGGTTTCCATGGTGAGCGTCGGGCCCAGGTGTACCCCCAGGCTGTGAACTCCATTTTTAGCAGCCAGGGTCACCCCCCCCAATGTGAAAGAGCCACCCAGGCCATCAACCCCAAGGGCACCCACCTTCACAACTTCCGTCTTGTCTGGGTTCAGCCTCAGCCCATTTTCCTGCATCCACTGCAGTACGGCCCCCAGGCAGCGCTGGAGGGACAGGACGGCATCACCTGTAGTTGGTGAAAAGGAGATGTAAAGCTGGGTGTCATCAGCATACGGATGACACGAGGCTCCACACCCCCTGATGACCCCACCCAGTGGTCTCATATAGATGTTAAACAGCACTGGGGAGATAATCGACCCCTGTGGAACCCCACAGTTGGAGCTCCACGGGGCCGAGACGCTCTCCCCAAGCTATACTCTCTGGGGGCAGTCCTCCAGGAAGGAACGGAGCCAGGCTAACGCCAAGCCACCAATTCCCAACTCAGAGAGCCTCCCCAGGAGGATACTGTGTTCAACAGTATCAAAGGCCGCCAAGATGTCGAGGAGGACCAACAGAGACACTTTGCCCCGTCAGCCTCCCTCAACAGGTCATCGTACAGGGCGACCAATGCCATTTCTGTACCGTGGCGCAGCCTGAAGCCCGACTGGAATGGATCCAGGACATCTGTCTCATCCGAGTGGGCCTGAAGCTTATCAGCGACCACCCTCTCGACCACTTTGCTCATGAAAGGAACATTGGCGACGGGCCTATAATAGCCAATCTCGTCCGCCACCATATTAGGTTTCTTTCTAATGGGCCTAATGAGTTTCTCCTTGAGGGCAGATGGAAACATTTTGGGATGGTGTTGCTCTCTGTGCAGCAAGATTGGGTGCTATGAACAGTGCTCTGAGATCATTGTTTTTAGTATGTGATTAAGGGTGTACCTAACAGCCAGAATGCTCCGTCCCTCGATTGATTCACCAGTGAAGATGAAGGGTGGCTCTTTAGGTCAAAAGAAGCAGAGCAATTGTCTTCAGCCTTCTTCAGATTCCCATAAGCAGAAATGCCCACTTGAGGGATATAAGTTACAAGTAGGATCTGCAACAAAATATTTCAGTGTAGAGAGCTTATATTTGGGAATAAGGCTGTCTCTACCACTGGGCAGAGTGAACAACTGCTCCAGGTGCAAGGGCCAAGGGGGTGTGAAATGAATAGTTTTATGTGCCAAAGGGTCTGCCCTGTTCCCCCAAGTTAGACCACTGCTCCCAGATCCTAAGGTTGGTATGGAAATAACATTCAGCTACCAGTCCAGTTGGCTTTTATAGGTTGAACCAGGGAATGGGATGAGAAAGGGGATAGAGGCTCTCTTGACTGATGAAAACCATTATCATTATTATTATACACACTAGTATCATGGGGAGAAAGCAGCGGACTTGAAACAAAATGCAAGACATTTTTCTGTTATTTAGCATATTTATGTATTTATAGTTATAGTTCTTTCCTTTTCTTTCCTAGGTGGTGATGAATAACTTAAACCCTACCTGGAAATCATTTAAGGTCTCTGTAAATTCGCTCTGCAGTGGAGATCAGGATCGCAGGCTAAAGGTTAGTGATGTGTATGAACTGTGGACGAAAAAGATTTGCATTTTTAAAAAATGATATTTAAATTAGAGCTGCTAATATTATTTTACGTCATTACTTTTGACATGAAGGCACCCAATTTTGTAAATTTATGTTTAGATCTCTTGAATTAAACCTCACACAACAATGTGTTCTCTTAATGATTCTAGATAATGGTGTAATGGCCTCTCAATGTAAAATCAACAGCAGTTGTGTTGGATCAAGTACAGTTGCTGAAATATTTCAGAAACTGAAAATAAAATGTCTAAAAATATCAATTAGATTTGCAAATAGGCTGCTCAAAACCTGATTTATCTAAAACCAGGGAGTTGTTAGCAGTAACCTCTCAGCCAGTTGGTTGCTTCATTTGTACCGTCCTTTAACACAAGAAGGATGATCTTGAGTAGAGATGGGGGTATTCATATACAAATACAAACAACCCTCCACAGGTGCAGATAATGAGTTTCCAGCACCCTGGGGCCAGACCGACCACTCACCTGTCCGCCACTGCCACTGGCTCCGCAATCCCTTCCTATCTGTCTGGAGCTCGCAGTGGATTAGCCACTCCTGGCAGAAGGCAGGGTGACGAGCCTCTTTGCCAGGTCGAAGAGTGGCTAACCCATTGTGAGCTCTGGAGTGATAGGAAGGGATCACGGAGCCCGCAGCATCGGCGGACAGGGGAGTGGTCAGTGTGGCCCCAGGGCGCTGGAAACTCATCTGCACCTGTGGGGAAATATTTGTATATGAATATGAATACCCCCATCTCTAATATTGAGCTAAGTGAACTAAAATATACATAACATGGTCTGGTCTAAAAGAAGCCTGAGAGCTTAATATGAGGTAGGATTCAACTCAACTCTCTTATTCCAGTGCTGTGACTACAGTCATTTTGCCGTTGAACTGGTAAACTTGGAAGTTGTCAGACCTTTGGGTCCATTTCAATTGTTTGTCTTTGTTCTCCTTCACTCTTCCTTAGCCTTACTTAACAGATGTGTTAAGATTACAACTCCCATCGAATGGTCACTATGCAGGTGAGAGGTGTGATAGAAGTTTTGGCCCAACTAATATAGAAACCGAAAGTTTGTTTTCTATTATTAGAATGTGATTATTAGCATTCATATTAACGAAACCCAAAGTGGGGTAATACCCTTATTTGGTTACAAAAAGTTATAAATGAGATAGCATTAACATTGATTTTCAAATAGTAGGCAAACTAATGTTTTATTTATAACTTTTAGTGATCCAAAAAGAGATTGCTTAGCCTCAGGTTAAAAAATGAAGACAGCCATGAAACATAGTTTATCCATCCATGGTATAAATTTACAAAGTTGCCTATCTGTATTCAAGCATTAGGTGGAGGAGATGCTAAATCCACACTTTGCTTGCTATGCACTCTTACCCTTCTGTGGGCCAGATGATGCCACTGTAAAGGAAAAGGCCCTGTTTTGTGTCCACACATCAGCCCTCAGATGATGACATTGGCCTTCATACCCAGTGTATGGGTATTTTCACTTGATAATTCTCTGTTTACTTTCATCCTTTTTTGCTCTAGCTATGGTGACCATCAGTCCCTAAAAAAAGAGACAACAGTCACATGTTTAGGTAACATTTGTATATTTTTATGTATGGGGCAAATTTTGAGTTAATGTACTAGAAGTAAAGTAGAAATGGAATGCATCATAGCACAATGAGGTGGATTGGGCCTAAGGGACCTGTGTATACCTCCTGCCCAGTCTGCAGTCTGGGTGCTGACCCCTGATGAGCAGCTTTAAGCCCTCATCACTCCTATTCTAAATTTCTTTAGCTTTAAACGAGACTTAAACTGGACAGTCATTCCAACAGACGTCTCTTTCAAATGGAGGACTGTCCTCTGTAAAACAGGATATATGGCCTCTGAGTAAGGGTGTAAAACCTTGGTTGTCTTGTTCTTGCATGTGAGGATTAGAGGCATGAGGTATAGACAGAGTTGTTTGTGCCTTTTCAAATAATTAGCCAGGCCTTCTGTGCTTGCTCTGAGTTTGTCTGTGTTTGTCCAGCTTCTCATGGTGAAAAGACATTTGTTTTGTGCAGAAAAGGTTTGAGCATTGTGTTTGTTTTGAATGTAAGATCCCTTTCACGACAGAAGTGCTATTACTTGTGATGACTGAGAGGCAACACTCCAAGGAAACAAGCTTAGATTACTTTAGTTCTAGATGTAAACTCCTCTTGTGCATATAATGCATTCTCAAGGACCACCAAGACCCTTAATCATATGAAGAAGTTGGTGTTTAATTTATAGATGGAACCTGCATGGGATAGCAATTAATAATCTATCAAGGGCTAAGAGAACATGGATACTGAAAGGCTAAGAGATTAAAAATGGTATAGGAAATAGATCTTAATTTATCTATACAGCAATACTCCATCTTGTACTCAGAGTATGTTTCTAGAATGTGGAGTATTAGCTAAAACAGTGGAAAACAGGATCATTGTAACATTATGCTTCATTGGATAGACAAAAACACAAATGGAAGTCTGAGTTGCTTCCATGTTTCTGGCACTAGTGGCGGAGGATGAGGGAGGAAGCAGCAGAAGGGGAAATGCAAAGAAGGGAGTATGTGATGATGAGGAGGGGGAAAGTGAGGGAGAAAATGGAAAGGAGAGAGAGAGAAGGAGCCACCAGAGCCACACACCCCATGCACCTGGTGCCTTTGCCGCCTTCGCCACATGGGAAGGAGCCAGTGAGTGAGGAGGCACTCTAGGAAGACTCCCTACTGACCACTTGCCTGCCTGCCTGCTTGTACGTGTATATTTCTTTCAGGGAGAACGTGTGTGAAAGGGAGCTGAGGGAGAGGGGAGAAGCAGAGAGAGAGAGAGAGAGAGAGACAATAGAATGGAAAGGGGTAGAGGGGCAGTATCCACCAACCAAATAATTATTGACTGACTCTTGAGAAGGAAGTGAAAACGTGTTGTAATGAAACAGTGCTAAATGAAACAGCTTTAAGTAGGCTGTTACTGTATTGGATTCTGAATCAGCAAAAATCTGATTGGCTTTCCTTTTAGAGATGGGCATCTACTCTCATTGTGATTCATTCACAGAATGATTCACAGAAAGGTCATAGGTCAAAGCTGACCATAGAGTAGCCACAGGTGTTGTGTGGGTGCCCCGATTCCATTCTGTACCTCCTCCCACGGGTGCCGTGTCAGAAGTAGTGTCGCAGTCTTCCCTGCCCCTCCTCCTCCTCCTCTGAGTGGGCACCTGCGGGAGGAGGTGGATAATGGAATCCTGATCCTCTGAACCGTGGAGAACTGTGGTAACGGCTCATCTCTAGTTCCTTTTAAATCAGTTTCTGGTCATTTTCATAAAAAAATATCTCAAAGCTAATGCACTGATGGCCTTGAGGCCAAGTTTTCTGTATGGCTCACTCATTAACCTACGTTTGGAATGTCCTCATGTCGTATACTTCTGGAAAAGTGTTGTTCCAACTGTTAACGAAATACCTTGCCAGGAAGTGGGCTTTTCCATTAATTTTCGTTCACCAAAATAGTTCCTTCTTACACAAAGGTCTGCTTATAATATTAGTAGCAGCTGCTAGGATGGAAATTTCCAGAAAGTGGGAGGATTTGGATGGTTTGTCAGTGCCTATATGAATGGGTGAAATCTGGTCAGCTGCACTCAGTGAAAAAGTGACATGCAAATGGAAAAAAGACTAAAAATATAGACTTTTATGGGAAAGGGATCTGTTTTCTTAATAATTCTGTCACTGCTCAATGGCTATGATCAGCTTTGACCTATGACATTCTTTAAGTTAATCACTCTGAGAATGAATCACTATGAAAGTGGGGTTTTGTCCATTCTTTTCAGGAGAAAGGTGAGATATAAATATTTTAAGTCAATAAGTCTTAGTAATAGATGTCAAATTGGTAATGTTTTGTAGTCTTCTTTGCTTCCATTCAAGTTCACGGGTGGTCAATAAGGATTTATTGTGGTGGTGGTTGGGTTTTTCATATCTCTCTCTCTCTCTCTCTCTCTCTCTCTGTCTGTGTCTCTGTGTCTCTCTCTCTCTGTGTGTGTGTGTGTGTGTGTGTGTGTGTGTGTGTGTCTGTACACTGCTACTTAATGAACTATTTTATATCACTTTTTTTAAAAAAAGAGAGAGAGAGCCTAAATTGACAATAGTGAATATTGTTTACATCTCTAAAAGTCCACAAAGGAAACATTTCTCACACTTGATATGAGAGAGGTGTTGGGCTTTGGAGCTGGCAAAGAGACTTGATGCTGCTTTTACTAGCTTGGAAGTGCAACACATTGTGAGAGATCCTCTCAAGTATTGTTAGAGAACAACTTGTAGGGAAATTAAGAGCTTTTGGGAACTAGTCCATGAGTTTTTACAAAAAAATGTTATCCTCTATAATTCCATATGAACCTGAACTGTTTTTGTTGAATATAATGCCAGATTTGATAGAAAAAGGAAAAAGATATTTGATCATACATGTAACTACAGCAGCAATAATTTTATATACCAAATACTGGAAAAAAGAGGAGACCAACAGTCCAGGAGTTAATAGATATTTTTCAAAGCAGCAGGGATGGATATATTAAAAGACAAAGAAATTGTTGAGGCTGGAAAAAAGTGGGAACCTTTGTATAATTGGATGAGAGATGAGAACATGAGTGGGTTAAAATTATAAGAAAGAAGAGATAAGATATAATTGTAGAGTTTAAAGGCTTAGAAAAAATGTCAAGATAAGTGAGACGTAAGCTTAGTAAGAAAACATATTGGCAAAAGTAATAATGATATATATTGTTCTCTATCACATTCTGTATTTTTATATTTACCCCAGTACCCTGTTCTAAATCCCCTTCCCTATGATCTTTCCTTAGCCAATCAAAAATGAATATAATATTCTTAGAGAACTTCTGAATAAGAGGCAGGAGTCCATGGTGACCTCTGATTATGGCCAGACAGTAAGCCCAGCCAAAATATGTAGACTAATGCCATTCT